CTTGTGTAGTGCTTTTTGAAGGGTTCTCCTGCTTCGACTTAGCAGCTGTTAGAGTGGGCAGTGTGATGCCCAGGCTGTTTGAGGGGAAAGCAGGCTAGGAAATGGGGAGGATAAAAGGAAAAAGGGGTGGAAGACTAGTGGATGAAGAGCTTGGTTTTCGGGGATCTAGGGCCCCCACCTCCAGCCTTACCCTCACTCCCATCTCCACCTCCAGGCCCTAGAGGAAATATACATGGCGTAGATCTGCAGTTAAACGGGGCTGCTTTTATTAGCTCTCATTTTGTTCATCTGTTGTGCAGTTAGCATTGTGGGGCAATGGTACCTAGCAAATAGGTCCAGGAAGAAAACTAAAACACAAAACGAAGCCAACTTACACGCATTCTCTTTTGTCCACTCTCTTATATTCTTTTTCTAACTTCCTTTCTATGTCCTCTGCTTTTGTACCATTCTCTACTTCCCTCCTCACAAAGTATGTGGGAGGAAAGAAAGTGAATCCATATATAAGCCAGCAAAATGGACACAACCTCTCAATGTGTATTTAAAGAGCTGAAGGCTTTGAGCTCTGTGGGGAAAGGGCCCCACTTGATACAGTGAAAGGGATGAGGAGCATTTTTGCTCTCTGCACAAAATTTGTAAAACCTACCAAAAAAAAAAAATTATTCCATTCCCAGGGTAGGGGAGAGCAGGCTCTCTTTCTCCTAGATGTGTGTGTGTGTGTGTGTGTGTGTGTGTGTGTGTGTGTGTGTGTTAAAGGGATCTCTTTTCTGAACAACAACAACAAAAGAGACAGAGAGAGAAAAACAGAGAGAGAGACAGAGAAAATGAACAGGCACACTTGGGAGAATGGGTTGCGAAAAAAACAAAAACAACCTTTGCTTCTTCTAAGGGCATTCAAATCTGTTGCCCTCTAGAAAAAAAAGTTTTCCTAAAAAACTAATAAATTACCTTTCCATTTATTGGGATGTTTTCAAATAAAGGAGACAAGGAGTGTTTATGAACAGGTATGAGTATAAAAGTCACCAGTTCATATACATCAAAAGAGTAGTCAGATACAGAACAAACTCTCCCTCTCTTTCTCATGAAAAATGGGCTTTATTTATTTTTTCCATTATAACAAGAGAACCATCTAAGAATTCACATAATAGCAAGGGGATATTTTCATTCCAGATTTTCCTGAAGAGTTGTCCCAAACGGGGCTCTCCTTTAATATTAGCCATTTTTTGTGACTTTGTTATCGTTACTGCTAATTAAGGGATGAGGAATTAAACAGAAGATGCTTGGAGGCATTTAGGAAGACAGCTATATTAACTCCTTATTATGCCTAAAAATAGTTTACTGTTTCCTGTTGATACTTGTTCCCTACCACTCTAGGGCTGCATTTATCCTCCAATGGCCAGGGGTTTCTGCTTTTCAAAGACTGGCTTGCTAAAAGCTGACTTCTAACAACCCTTCCTTCTCCTTTGCCCTGATATATTTCCCAGCAGGGCAAATATGGAGAGCCCAACCTTAGTTTAGCCTACAGATGGAAAAGACAGACATCAGCATTTATCTTGTTTTATTCTAAGTATTTAAACATTGTTGAGCCCTTTTTTCCTGGGTTTAGAGAAAGAAGAACGTTTTTGTATTAGGGAGTGGGGTCCTATGCTTGTGAAAAGAGAAAAAAGCGAGAGGAGTTGAGAGGAGAGGGCAGACAGGCAGACGGACTTCTGAATACAATCCTAAGATTAGGGAAGGTAGAAACATGTGCTGTTTTTGCCCTGAATCAGTTCTGGGCCCCAGCACATCCACTCCCTCTATTAAGAAAGCCTTGGGTGCTCACACACTTGGGAATGGAGTCATGGAGAAGGCAACTGATGTTTAGTTTGAGGAGCTGGTTAGCTGTGTTTTCATAACTCCACTGGACTCCAGGTTTGAAAATGCCTGGAGCAGGAGACTGTAGGTTGGGACATGCATAGTTAACATTCTCCAAATTAGACAGTCTTGAAAAACTCTGTGAAGCCCCCTGTGGGAGCTAGTGTCAAGTCAGAGTTTCCCAGCTGCCTAGTCTTAAGACCCAGGACTGGAGAGATGAGGGAAATGTTATCCCCAAACTTAAGTAAGACTCTTTCAAAATATGGGGTAAACTGAGGCCACTTTTTAATTTGATTTGGGGGAGTCTAAGAGAGAAGGGTGCTAATATGGACAATACAGCTTGTCACCACAGACAAGAACACCAAACTCAGTGTTTCCTTGTGTAGACGGATAGTTTTGGTTACTCCTCAAGATGCCAACACTGGCAAGAGGCAGCTCCCTTGTGACTCAGAGCTTTCACTGGTGTGTGTGTGTTGGGGGAGGGGATAAAGTTGTGCAGGTTTCCAGGATATCAGGCACTCTTTCCTTACATACACACACAGAGTTTTACAGTATATTGAATGAGGAAAAAGACTAGCAAGGTTTTTTTTTCCACCAATGTCTCCCATTGAGAAGGGGCTATGTAAATCAATACTGAGTTATTTCTTTGAATTCAAAGGATATTTATCCAGGTCTAATTTCTTTAGAATTAAAGTGATAACTGAGCCCAACTTAGCAACCAAACCCAGCCAGGTCCTGCCTGGCTTGAATGTACTTCTACAGTCCATGAGGCTGCAAAACCACTTCAGGCACCCCAAAGCATTTCCAGGCCTACATGCGTGAGAAAACATGGGTCCAGACCTGGAACAGCAGGAGTTTCTTTGACCCAAGAGCCCATTCCTCCAACAGTGGCCACCGGTGGACCAGGGAGATTTTGTGTTGGCAATACACAAGCATTTCTCTCTAAATAACATTGACACTCGCAATACAAATTCCAACATCTCAATACCTTAAAAAGCAAAAAGCAGCTTAGGCCTCAAATCCTGCCTAGAGAATATGACCCTCACCTACTACAAGCCCTAAAACAGCCTTAGGCCTCCTACTCCAGATTGCTGGGTTTACATTTATTTTGAATGATAAAGACTTCGAAGGCCTCGCCTGCTCTACTCCTCCCACCCGCAAGCGTTGGCCCGGGTTCCCCTGCGGGCCAGACAAAGAAGCAGGAGCCAGGACCCGGCTGGCGCCTAACTCGGCGCCAGGCCTGGAGCCCCTGAGGTGTGCCCCTTCCTGCAAGGCCCCAAGGAACCCGAGTTTTTGCCCCTCGCTGAAGGGTTGGAGGTGCGGGCTGGGCTAGTGATAAAGGAGGGTGACTCCAGCCTCTTTACTTCAGCTCATTGCTGTCACCCATGAAACTGGATGAAGGACTGGGAAGCCAATCTCCCGGGTCCAATTGGAGAGAAATGACTGTGGTAAATAGCCCTGTGGTAAATAGCCTCTGAGCAGCGAATTCTGCGCCGTGGCCGGTGGCAGAGGCTACACCTGGCAGCCCTACTCACCGCGCGCCACCTTTGCATGCTGTGCGGGGGTCACACTATCTCGTTTTCCATTCTTGATACTGGCAAGAAAGTCGAACAGTCAGGTCTGAAGTTTATATTCTGTCCCGCAAGTGCAGAGATAGCCATCACACCAAGTGGGGCCCCTCGCTCGTTCGACTTTCCAGCTCTTGACTGTCTCTGAGCCCAGCCTGGGTCACCCAGCATGTCTCAGCAGGGCCTTTACCATAAGCCACAACGACCACAGCTGCTTCACTGGAACACCGTGCAGGCA